TGGGTGCTGTTAGATTGAATGCCTGATGGAATGCTGAGAAGGGTGGGGCTGTTCAGCCTGGAGGAGGTTGTGGCAACCTGCAGGATCTGAAGGGGCTCCAGGGAAGCTGCAGAGGGATCTGTGTTAGGAGCTGCAGGGACAGGACACGGAGCAATAGGGAGAAATGGAGAGAGGGAAATTTAGGTTAGACCTTAGTTAGAAGTTTTCCCTGTGCGGGTGGTGAGACACTGGCCCAGGTTGCCCAGGGAGGCTGTGGCTGCCCCAACCCTGGCAGTGTTCACAGCCAGGTTGGATGAGCCTTGAGCAACCTGCTCTGGTGGGAGGTGTCCCTGCCCAGGGCAGGGGTTGGGACTGGATCATCTCTAAGCTCCATCCCAACCCCTTCACATCCTATGACACTTCCTGGAGCCTGAGGTTTGCAACCTACACAGGTCAGAGTGAACTTTGGAGGGCAATTAATCACAGTGTTTGATTAGTTCTTCCCTCCTCCTTGTCCTCCTTACCCACACACCTCTCCCAGCCCCCAGGGCCCTGATATCTGAGGAGCAATGAACCCCTAAATCCACACAGCAACACCTTAATTCCATATCAGTCTTAACTGGATATGGAAAATGGGCTGTGGATGAAAGGGGTCCCAACATGGAACACTCTCAGGGATGGGAAATCCAAACCCTCTCTGGGCAAGGAGAAGGCTATTAAGGGTGTTAGGAATTGTTCCTGGGCCGGAAGATGTTGACACCTTTGTTAGGACCTTGAAGGATCAGGTTTGAACAGGAATGTTCTGGACTGGGACTTGTCCCTCAGATTGAGTGTCTCAAGCTGAAGGTTGGGAAGATTTTCCAGGAATCCATTGATTTAATTTAATTTGTTGAGCTGTTTTTTTCTAGGACTGAATTTGTTTCATTGATGAAATTTATTTAATGTGCTAGGAATTAACTTATTTATTACGTTGATTTTATTTTGTTTCTGGAATTGATTAATTCAATTTAATGAATAGATTTCTTTTTTTCCTAGAAATTCATTTCCTTAATTTATTAAATGTATTAATTTAATCATGTTTGCTAGGAATTAAATTATTTCATTTATCAAATTTAATTTATTTCAGTATTTTCCAAGGAATTAATTTAGTCAATTTATTAAATTTATTTTATCAATATTTTTCTAGGAATTAATTTAATTTTTTTCATAGGAATTCATTTATTTATTACTTTTTTTTGCTAGAAATTAACTCATTTATTAAGTTTAATTACTTTTTTTCTATGACTTTATTAAATGTCCTTTATTTTTTCTAGGAATTAATATTCTTGATTAAATTTCTTTTTTTTTCCTTGAACATTATTTATTTAACTCATTAAATTTCATGTATTTAATTCTTTCTTTCTAGGAAGTAATTTATTGGCCTTTTTTTCCCCTTAGGAATTAATTTATTTCATTTATTAAACTAAATTTATTCCATTTTTTTCTAGGAATGAATTTATTACATTTCAGGCATTCAATTATTTTTCTAGGAAGTCATTCATTTAATTTAACTTAAACCACTTATTTTTCTAGGACTTCATTTCTGAAATTTATTTTATCAAATCATTTTTTTCCCTTGGAACTGATTTATTTCACTTATTAATTAATTCTCCCACCAAGGAATTTCTTTGGTTCCTAATGACTTGGGAAAATTTTCTTCCCCTTTTCCAACCAGAACTGTTTGGAAGTTCAGCGTTTTTTGACCTCCAGAAACGTCACAACAATGAAAGAAGACACCAAAACACTTTAATCGAAGGAGCTCAGGCCTAGCCAAGCCTAGAAAATCCCAACGGAGCTTTCCCTGGAAGTTTCCCAACGCCAAGAAGCACCAAGCAAGCAGCAAACTGCAGTAGGGGCAGTGGTGGCACCACCAGGAGACACATCCAGGAGCCATTCCAAGGCTCCCAGGGCTTCAGTGGGAGGTGTCAGTGTCCCCAGAGGCCCCAGATCGTGTCCCTCGGAGCTTCCAGCACACCTGGAGCCGACGCCAACGTCACACCTTGAGGTGTCGGCACGGCAAAGGAGACCAAGAGGAGTTATCCCACTCATTGGAAGCTGAGTGAAGTCACCAAGTCCGGGAGAAAGAGGGAGACCAATCTTGGGAAGGCTTCAAGGCAGTTGTGATGAGTTTGTCTCCACTGGGTGTCTCTTTTGATCTTCCACCCTGAGGACCCAAAATGTCCTTCTCTTCCACAAAACAGCTCCAGCAATCCATAGGATCAGCTGTGCCTGCATGGAAATGCCACTGGAGCCAAGGCCTAGTCAGCCAGTAAGGCCCAGAGAGTGTTCCAGTTACCAGGGAATAAATTAGAGGAGAAAATTCCTGTTGTCCAGCCCCAGATCTGTGTCCCTCCAACCCTTCCCTGCCACCACTGCACCACAGCTTGGACTGGCCTCATCCCACAGCCTGTAGGAATTCCTTCCTTCCACAGCCTTTGGAACAACTACTGCTCCATAAACACGGAGTGAACAAGGCCTTGGATGGACATGTGGTGCAGAAGGAACTGCCTGAGGTCGAACAGTGACAAAACTCATCCTGAGACCAGAACAACCCCTTTGGATTCTGGAAATCACCTCATTCCTCAAACCTCTCTTTCTAAAACCACCAAGTGAGACTTTCCACAGGTTCTAGTGCCAAAAAAACCCCACTGAAAACTGGGTTAGGTTTAAAAAACAAGTAAGAAAATAGACTTTGGCCTCCGAACTTCAGAGTCAGCAGTGACCGACTCCGAGCTGCACCACAGAGAGCCCTGAAGTTCCTCCTGACTTCAGTTTGCACTGAGCATTCCCAAAACCCTGCTGAGATCGGAGGCAAAGCTAAGAAAATTGGGATTTCTGGATGTACAAAGCCAGTAGAAAAAGATCCAAGTGTGCAGCCTGGAGCAGAGCTTCCCTAGGAAGGGGTAGGAAAAGGCACTCCAGTTCTCCTCGCTGCTCACACCCTATGCACAGCTTCCCAGCCATGAGCAAACCTCATCCAAACACACCTTGAGTCTTTCCCATCACCATATTTTTCCCTGAAAAAAATCCCAGAGCTCTGAATAGATTCATCCACTGAAAACTCCATTTTCTTCCCACCCCCCCAAGTCACAGCAACCAAAACGTTACCAGAGATAGAAATTACCTGAACTCATCCCAAATCAGTTATTTCCCCTCTCCTATTGCACATTATTCCCTGATTTTTCCAGAGGAAAACCCTTTGGAGGCATTTAAAGGCTCAAACTTGACATGCACAAGTTCCACAGCAGTAAAAAGATGCTGAGGGGACTCTGATTCTGCTGGAAAAACAATGCCAAGAAAATCCCAGGTAGGAATATCTATGGATATACAGATCTAGGAGCAATTCTCGAGATAATAAATACTTGAAACAATTCCCAGATTTCCACAAACTTGGAAGAAACTAAAGAAATTAATGCAAAGTGACTTTAGAAGCCCAAAAAAGACACATGCACAAAACCTAGGAGAAGGAAAAGGGTTGCAATTCCCATATTTCACCCTGAAAATCCTCTCTATTATCCCTAGCTTTTCTGCACAGGGATTAGTTGGAGGATTTAAGCAAAAAAAGCTTTCCCCAAGTCCTTTTTTCCCCAAAAAAAAAGACCTAGTTTGTCCAGTTTTGTCTCCAAATCATCTTCTCCCCATGCTGTGATCCCAGAGATCTGGGAATACACTCATGGATTCAGCTGCAGCAGCAAAATAAAGGAGAAAATTCTCTCTAGTTTTTTTCTGAGCAAACTTCTATTGGAATTTCTCCTACTCCAAGTGCTGCTGTTGGCACCAAACAAAGCTGTGCCCTGCTGATTCCCTGGCAGATGTGTGCTTGGAACCCTTGGAAAAGCAACAGGAGCTCAGCTGAGGTGGGAAGGGGCATAGTCTGGTCTTCGGGTCTGGATGATTTTGGGTTTGGGCTTCTTGGGCTCCTCCTGCACATCGTTCTCCTGGTCGCTCTCGCAGACGTGGACCACAACACTGGGGGTGGTGGCAGTGGCAGCATGGAGCTCATACTTCTCTCCTGCAGGGAAAGGATTGGCACGAGCGGTGAAACAGGAGCAATTTTGGGGATTTTGGGAGGGGTTTCAGGTGTGGAAACGTGGAAGCAGGAAAATGAGAGAGGCGTGAGGGCTCCAGGGGCAGCGACAGACACATGGACCTGTCCCAAGGGAATCTGTCTGGGGAGGAGGAGGAGGAGGAGAAGGAAAGGGAGGAGAAGGAAGGGAAAGGAAGGAGAAGGAAAGGGAGAAGAATGAAAGGAAGGGGAAGGAAAGGAAGGAGAAGGAAAGGAAGAAGGAAAGGAAGGAGAAGGGAGAAGGAGAATGGAAATGAAAAAGGAGGAGAAGGAGAAGGAGGGAGAAGGAGGAAGGAGGCAAATCCATTAAGTGACTTAAATTTGATGTTCAGTCAGGGAAAGCACCAAACTATTTCCTTTCACCTCTTCCCTCATCGTCTCTCCAGTATTTTCCCCTTGTCTCTCTCCCCTCATTCCCTCTGAGACTCCATAGAGAGCACAGGAGTGCCTCACACACGAGGTGCTCACCCCTGGGACTCAGCCAAGGCTCTGGAATGCTCTCTGCTCCACTTCCTCAGCTGCCTGAAGAACGGGAAGGGGCCCAAAGACCAATGCCCTGGAGGAAAAGGCTCTGTCATGCCTAGGAACACACACTGTGCTGGAGCAATCCCTGCTCAACCCTTGGGGCCAAGTCATCAACATCCCAGTGCAGAGGAAGAGCTTTCTAGGGCTCAACATTCCCAACCTGCATGGAAATTCTCAGGGGAAAAGGGATCACAGAACTTTCAGAGAGGGAAAAGGACCAACTTTTCCTGCTTGGGAAGCCCTGAAGTATTTATTTGAAGACCTAAAACCTGAGAAGAAAACTTGGAGCAAAGAATAAGCTCTGAATTGGCCTAAAAACCAGGAGGAGTTGTGCTGTTTAGTTATTCCTTCCATGTATTCAGTCAAAACCAAGTTCTGCTTCCAAACAGGACTGCAGGAACATGCAATCTTGGATGAAAATTGATCCATCAAGAGGATTCCTGAGGGATAAAGACCTTACAGGCAGGAGCTGAAAGTTCTGCCCTACCCTTTTCTCCACCTCTTCCTCCTGCCAGGACAAGCTGTTCCCTAAGCAGGTGGATCAAAATCCCACAGGATAAAAATCCCACAGCTTTTCTTTTGCTTAAGGATGGTTTACTCCAGCCAAATCCTGTTCCCACACCTCCTTACCTGGTCCTAACTTGGAAATAGCATATAAAAGGTCATAGTTAATAACTGGAGTAGCATCTTCCACTTGCTTCCAATCCACAGGTGGAGAGGCAGGAGGGGAGATCAAAAACTGTTTATCTGGGTTTGGTGGTGCCAAGTGGGAACTTCCAATGTGCAAAGTCTGGAAAAACAAAGGCAGAGAAGCCAAATTTTGATCATTATTATCCATGAATCCATGGCTGAGGAGGTGTTTCCAGGCTGAGAGGGATGTGATGCTCTCCTAGGCACTCAGGGTGGCAGCATGTCCCTGCCTGATGGGAATGACTCAAGATGCTCCAACACTTCCATGAATTCCATGGAACATGCAATCAAGTGTTTCTTCCTTTAAAACAGAACCTCTCTCCTTCAAATCCTGGAGGAGCAAGAAGTTGGATTGGGCTTTAAGGCCCTAACGGCAAATGGGGGTTAAAGCTCATGGCCACAAGTGAGAGGGATGAGAATTCCAGGGGGTATAGAAATGAACTGATTCCTTCAGGAATGTCCCTAGGGATAGTCAAAACATACAGGGATTCATATCCCCATTTAATTTACAGAAGAACACACAGTGCAGATCCCAGAATGCATCCAGATTCCCCAAACCTGAGTTTCCTTAGCAGCACAGCCCAGGCAGCTCCTGAGTTTTTAGCAGCTCCTGAGTTGCTCTGATGGAGATCCCCAAGAACAGGAGCCACAGGAAAAGCCTGGAATGTGCAGCTCCACCCCTTGGATGCCCCCAGAGATCCCTCACACACCTGTGTGTGCTCTCGGCAGGGAAAGTCTCTCCCATCCCTTTCTGTTCCTCGGCTGTGCTGATTCCCATCACCCATTCCCTTTCTCCAAGTTATCCAAACAATCCAGAGGGAGGCATAAATGCCAACCAACAGCTCCCAAATCCATGGAGCTGTGGAACAAATTGGGATCCTCTAATCAACCTAAAACCATCTCACAGTGCTGATTAGCATTACCACGAGGCTTATGAGGGCTAAGTTCTGCTCTAAGGAGAATCACATGAGGATTTACCTGAGCAAAGTAGAGTTTGATTTCCTTCCCAAGGAATTCTGTCTTGTGCAGTTGGATTCTGGCATCTGCTGCAGACAGAGGGTTGCTGAAGTTGATTCTTACTCTCTTGAAGCTCTTGAAGTACTGAAAGGTGATGTCTCTATCATAGGACCTGAACAGGGACTCAAACTTGGCCTGGAAGGAAGGAGCAGAGGAAAAAATGAATATACAACCTCAATTTTCCATAAAGAAATAAAGAAATAAACTAAATAATTAGAATTTACTACTAAGAGCAAAGTGCCACTTTGGAATCTTGATGGATTGGAACAGCTCAGCTTTAGTTTTCTTCCTCGTTCTTCCTCTAGTGAGTTTTTCTCCCATGTTTTCCTTATGAAAAAGAGATGACCCATAAGTGTTGGACAATTTAGCAATAATAGTGGTAAAATATGGAAAAGAAATCCTTTCCCTCAATGTGGAATTTTGAAGGGAATCACCATAACAGTTTGAAGGGAGAAAAATAGCCAAGCTGTGATTTTCCTCAGTGACTCTGCAGCATAAATCCAGGAATTTCATCTGGTTTCCTTTCAGTTAGGAAAATGAACATGTTATCCCTTCTGGAGCTGCCCAAGTGTTTCCCCTCACCCTGAGAACAGCCACCGGTCCTCACTGCAGGGATTGGCAATCGACTCAGCATTCCAGTTTCAGGTGTTTCCAGGGATTTTCTCTCCCTAAAACTCCAAAGAAGATGACTCCAAAGCCCAAAGAAACAAGCACAGAAAATCACATCAAATCTCATCAGCTTTTCCTCATATAGTTTGATTTAGGAGGGGCAAAAAAAAAGCTGCAAAGATGCTATAAAAAGGCAGAAATTTGGCCAAAAAAAATCAGTTTTCTTCCTGAAAAGCTTCACTTGATGCACAAACTA